GATAGGGAATGGCAAAGGACACACTGACAAAGGAGATTAATCAGAACTGACTTTGACAAGCACTGTGGCAATAGGACAATTAAAACAGACATTCGGATGGCGGGGGAAGAAGAACAAACTGGGGGGGAGGGTAGAGAGAATGGTGCAGCAATGAAGGAATGAAAACCCCAAATCCCTGTTCATTAAAATTAATAAAATTTAATAATAAAAAAAGCACCTAGAAATAAAGGAGGATGCCCCATCTGAATGACTTGTCTTGCTGCTTCAGATGATCAGTTCTTTGTTTCACAGCACAGTCTGCTTGCTCTCAAGCCCATTCTGATTCCTGCAAACACCACGTTTGCCACATGAGACCTGTGCTCCGTAGGGTTTGTAGTGGCTGGTTATTTCAGAAGCAGATCACCAGACCTTTCTTCCAAGGCATTTCTGTGTGGACTTGAACCTTCCACCTCTCTGTTAGCAGGTGAGTGTATTAACTATTTGCAGCACTATAAGCCTCCTACTCTATAGCTTCCTCTTGTGTTGTTATGTACCTTCAAGTCAGAACTATACTTGACCATCCATTATGTTTTCAGAGGCTGTGAATCACACGAGAGGGGATTGCTCATCCACCCCCTCCCCATTTTTGGAGAAGCTGGTGGATTCAAACCAGCTGTCTTTGGATTGGCAGCACAGCTCCTTGCCATTCGGCCTTTAAAGGCTCCTACTTTAAAGCTTAGTGGTTTAGAATGAAACAGCCTGAATATGAATCTTTTGTTGTTTATTGGCTAGGTGATCTTGGACATAATATCTGACCTCTTTCTGTTTTCTCATTTGTAAAGTGAGGCTAAGAATTATTCCATTTTACGTGTTTACAGTGAGGATCAACTGATTTAATGAAATGTGTATAAATATATGTAAATTGCAGGACAACACCTAGTATATTGACACTCCAGATGTCAACTGATAGGATTATCAGAATGAGAAGCAGCCTTCCTGCACTAACCACGTCTCCCCTTTAGCCAGGTGCCAACCAGCTCCTCACCCCCTGCTCTGCTTTTAACCAAGGACAGGAGATTTTGATCGAGTGGGATAGTCTGCTGATTTAGCTTGGATTTGGACTACTGGACTTTTGACAAGTCCCGGCTGCCTCCCCTTCCGCTCACCTTTTCAGCCCAGGCTCGCCTAGTTCCTGAGCTGACCCTGAGTTGCGTCTGAGCCCCGTGCTACTATCCCTTCCCAGGTGCTCTTGGCCTGGATCTGGCCACCCGCCCTTGGCGAGGTCCTCGGGCAACCTCCTCTGCCTGTGGTCAGGTGGGGCCTCGCAGCCTCCCTCTACCTCCACCCTCACCTCGGTCAGCAGGTCACTTACCGCCGCGGCGACCTCTCGCGGCCGCTAAGGGCCCCAGCAGCGAGCAGTAAATCTCTTCCAGCTTCTCCAGGTGACCAGCCCGGCTGGGACGGGGCTCGTTAGCCATTTGCTCCACAGCGGCCACCACGGCATGGAAATACCTCTCCAGGAGGCGGCGCGGGCTAGCCTGTTGGGGAGATGGGGAGTCAGCCTGGGTTCTGCCCCAGCACCCACCCATTTTGCTAAGCCACAGAGTTACGGAGACAGCCCAGCGTGTCACCTGCCCTCTCTGCTTTTAGGGCTTGGGAGCTTCTGGCTCCCACATCCAGGCCCTGCTTGATGAGGCCTCCAACTCGGGATCCTGATTTTGAAAGAAAGCAGGTGACTCAAGGACATTGTTGACCTTGCTCCTTTCAGAGTGTTCCCAAGCCTATATCCATATCCAGGCCCCCATCAGAAGGAAAATGCTGGAAGGCAGGCCTTTTGTCTGTTTATTTTGCAGCAGTATCCCCACCACCTACCAGAATTCCTGAAGCAGGTTCTCAATAAATATTTGTAGAATAAATATTTCCTAAATTTATCAGTTCCTCTATAACCTTGATGCACCACCTATACTATTTTTAAATCCGCTCACTTTCTTTTGGGTTTGAAGTTTTTAAAAAGGAAACTGTACCACCACTCTAAATAATAAAACAAGCATCACTTGTCATGAATAGAAAAGATCTAGAAGGAGTACAATTGCTGCAGAACAATGTCATTTAATTCAAGCTAGGTACTTTTTCCTGCTGAGGTTTTGAGCTTGAAGCTCACTTTCTCTCCCTCAGTCTCTCTCTTTTAAAGAGAAAGGTTGAAAGTAAAAGTCAAGCTGAGCCTTTCTGCTTCATAGAAATAGAAGTTTGAAAGAGAAGAAAAGGAAAGACATTTTTCCTCATGTCGTTCGGGGCTCTGGGGCACAGCTCCACAGCCTGGGAAGGGCTGACTGGGGCCATGTTCTCTGGCTTTCTTCTTCCACCACCAATCAACTCATCTCAAAACTAAAGGTGCAGGGACCAGGACAAGTGACAAGACCAAGTATACCAGTGGTTCCCCTAATCTTGGTTCTGGCTAGGGGTTCATTATGGAGGTGTCTAAAGTCTCCGGGCCAAGCTATGGTTCAATAGGCTGAATGAACAAACGAATAAAGGAAAACTTTTAGAGAAATGTGGAACCAGACTTCAGATAGACTATAGGGACCACCTCAGCTTGTTGCTACAGTTGGTAAACTCCCCATTACTTAACAAATATTTATGGAGCACTCCACATGAGCCAGGCACATCACTGGGATACAGCACTGAACAAAACAAACAAAAATCCTGTCCTTGTGGAGGGTGTGTGTGTGTGTGTGTGAGAGAGAGAGAGAGAGAGAGAAAGATACAGAGAGCGTATGGAAGGCAGTATGGTGCTTTCTCAAAAAGTTGCAAATAGAAATACCATTTGACCCAGTAATTCCACTACTTGGAATCTACCCCAGAGAGAGAGAGTATGAGCACATGTAAGAGTGAGAAAGAGAATAAACAGAGTAAGTAAAATATAATACGATATACAATGATAAATAATACTAAAAAGACAAAATTAAACTGGTACGGGATATGTGGAGTTTGGGTGAGGGGCTGAAAGGTTAAATCTTGTGGTCAGAAAGTTTCCAAAGGGACTTTTTAGTAAAGACCTGAAGGAAGTGGAAGAACATTCCAAGCTTAGGAAGCAGCAAGTGCAAATGCCCTGGGAGGTAAGTATGTCTGGCGTGTTGGAAGAACCACAGGGAGGTCAGTGTAGCTGGAGCAGTGTCAGAGAGGAAGTGAGGGCTGGGCAGGATCTTGACTCTGAGTGAGAAGATGCATTGGGGGTGATGGCTATTCAGGTTGCACGCTCAGGGCTGAGACACCAGTCGCCCTGCTGCTGATTTTGCTGGTAGTCAATTGAACTTAGTCATATCATTTTCCGAAATAGCTAAAGCTCTCTCCTGGTGTCACTTCCTGAGGTCTGAAGACCTAGCCCCTTCACTCTAATTTAGGAAAACCACAAGGCCACCTCAGTTTCCCCGAGAATCAGCAACTATATTCCAGCTCTTTTTTCCCCTCTGCCCAATTCCATGCCTTCACGCCCCATGGAGATGTATTCCACACAGGCTTTGCAGTAAACTTCCTCTGAATCAGAGGCTGCTTTCCAGGGACGCTGTGACAGGTAAGGAGCCCTGGGGATGGCTGAGCAGAGTAGTGGTGTTTTAGTGGCCCCAGAATTGATGCCAGCAGGCTGAAGCAAAGGCAGAGGCAGAAAGGCAAGAGAATCCTGCAGTCATCCAGGCTGGACGTGACCACAACTCAAACCAGGGTGGTGGCATTTGACTGGGAGAGAAGGATTTGGATCATGGAGCCAACAGGAAGGATTCAAGAATGACATAGAATGGCATAGATGTGAGCCAACCTAGGAAAGAGCTGTGGGAGGAACTGTTTCTAGAGAAATGAAGAAAAGAGGAAGATTAAATAAACCCTGAGAAGCAGTGGCTGGTTCAAAGTCACGCAGCTGACTCACAGGAGAGCCTCCTCTGTCTCATCCTATGTCCTTATAGAAATGTCTGGTGTCCAGATTAGCACCTCAAAGTCTTACCTGGTCCCCCAGACCCCTAACTACACATGAGACAGCCCTACCCACTTCAGTACCCAGAACATGGTCACAGAGGGCCAGAGGTGGGCTAGTCTGGTCCAGTGGACATATGCAAAGATAAATCTATTCCCCACTGGGCCTCAGACCCAGGTCCCCAGCAGACAGGATGTGGATTAGTGGTAAGAAAGGGCCCCCTCTGCTGGGCCAGGGACTGGCTGAGTCATCTCTCTCAGGGACGCTTGACCTCCACCACCAAGATGTGACTAGAAATGTACTTCACTCTGAAAACAGCTTCGAGCAGTTGAATTTCAGACAGGGAAGCAGGGAACACATGGGAGAGGTCAGGAATAATGGCAAAAAAATGCTGGAGAGCCAGGCAAGTCTGATGTCTAGGAACCCAAGTAATCAAGAGCTGCGGGAGCAAGCCAGTAGACTGCTGAGGATCCTTCTAACCCTGAACTCCTATGGGTCTCTAAGACCTTATAATCTCTCCCAACTCTTCTTCTGCCCTTACTCTAATTTTCTAAACACAAAAATTTAGACTAAGGGCAGTGCATAAGCAAGATGGTGAGGATGCATAGACATAGATAGATATATAGATGTTGATATTACCTAAGGCTAAAAGAAGTTCTGGTGTCCTACTGGTAAGAAGCTGCCCTCCCATCCCAAAGGCATGTGGTTCAAATACACCAGCTGCTCCATAGGAAAAAGATGAGCAATCTCTCATGAGATTTACTACCCCTGAAAACCTGCTGGAGGGTCAGCTATGAGTCCTGTTTCAACTCAATAGAACGCAATGACAACAACAACAACATGCCTCAAAACAAATTTTACTTTCTGTATTTCATTCTCTCATTGTAAAGTAATATAGGTAACAAACCTTTTAGCTGTGACTCTTAACCACACCCTGTTTCTGATCTGGTACTTCAAATTTACACATTCTGATAAGCTCACACATACCCAGTCTCGTAGCTAACTTTACCCCTGAACTTAGAGACAAAGCGGGGCTAAAATTGCCAATTTTTTCATCTCACTGACTAACAAAATCCAATGTTCTGACACGTTTGACATGGCTGTTTCAAAATAGCACCACCATGGTTTTTGTTGTTGTTAGGTACCCTCAAGTCAGTTCCAAGTCATGGTGACCCAATGCACAACCAACCCCTCTCCAATCCTGTGTCATCCTCACAATCCGTGCTGTACTTAAACCTATTATTGTTGCAGTCACTGTGTCAATCCATCCCCTTTGGCAGCACACCCAAAGGATGTGAGGTAAAGTCTACCATCCTTTCTTCTAAGGAGCTATCAGAGATAGATTTGCTTGTTCTTTTGCTTGTATCGTTGTATACCGTAGAGTGGGAACCAGCCCATAGCTGACCCTTCAGAGGGCTTTCAGAGGCAGTTAATTGCACAGGAGGAGATTGCCCATCCTTCTTCCGCGTAAAGGCTGGTGGCTTCAAACCGCTTGCCTTTGGGATTGCAGTGCAGCTTCTTGTCACGAGGCCACCAGAGCTCCCTCATTCTTTTGGTAGCCTATGACATATTCAATTCTCTTTGCTAACACCACAGTTCAAAGGGCATCAATTCTTTTTTTGATCTTCCTTATTAATTAATTTTTAATAGTATATTTTGTTTTATACTGATTTATTTACAAAGTCCAAAACATTGTTTTTCACATCAGATCTTTTCATTTTCTTCACACACACTCCCACCCATCAAAAGGGCAACCCTGTGATTAACACTCCCTTCCATCCTCACCCCATTTCTTCCCCCTCCCCCTTCCCCCTTGAATCCTCATACTCATTCTACAATAATGGTTTTATATAATATTTGTCTTTATGGGACTGAGTTCACTCAGCATAATGCTCTCCAGTCTCTTCCATGTTTAGGTAGTAATTTACAAAATCATTGCTCCTGCATGCTGCATAGTATTCCATTGTGTAAATGTATCATAATTTCTTAATCCCTTCAATTGTGGTTGGACATCTGGGCTGTTTCCATGTTCTTGTGATAGTGAATAACACTGCTATGAACATTGGTGTATACAAGTCTCCATTTGAGCCTCAGTTCTTATTTTCTTGGGGCATAGACCAATTTTCATATACATATAAAGTAATTGAAAATATCCATGACTCAGGTCGGGCACAACTTAATCATTAAAATGACTTCTTTTCTCTTTAACACTTTAAAGAGTTTCTTGACAACATATACAGTCAACATAATGGTATTTTATTTCTGACTACTATTTCTTTGGGTATTGATTAATTATGGATCTAAGTAAAATTGTTGGCGACTTCAATTTTTTTCCTATTTATCACATTTTTTGTTTAAGGATTTCTGGTTGAAAACCAGAAATATCAGTTAGCATATCAGTTAATCTGACGAAATCTTGGTAGTGCATCGTGCTGCTAATAAAAAAAGAGCACGTAGGTGCCTCTAGAAGATTGGACCCGTCCGCAGCTGTGGGGGAAAGGATGGGTAGTTTTCTTGCATTCTTTTTTTTTTTTTTCTTCTTGCATTCTGATTAATAGCTTTGGAAACCCAATA